CAATGGAAATGAGCACAGCTGCAATAGCCAACAGCATACCAAATAGTCCAAAGTGGGGTCTTCTTGGGGAGGAAGCCTGATCACAAGCAGCTGACAACATCTCTAGGCCAAGGTTAATGGCTAAAAATATCCACTCTGCTGACTCTGAAGTAGCCCTCATCCCTGAAACAAAAGAAGACTGATCTCCACGACGAGTATTTGCAAACCAGGAAAGCAGTTGTTGCTCTCTCAATTTCCACAGCTAATAAGCAAGTGCTTTTCTTTGAGACATAAATACCTCTGTTTGGTTACTGAGAAAACGGAGGAATTTACATAGAAAAAGAAAGGAACTTTCCAAGACGGATCCTCTGCTTTCTTTCTTTAATTATCTGATTTCCATCCCGCCCAAACTGAAAACAATGAGAAGAAAAGCCCAGCCCACTTGCTGCCGGAAGAAAAAAAGCCCATACAACAGCAACACGGCAGTCTGGACTTGCTGCAGAAACGCAGCAGAGATCACAGACGTGCGAGGGGTTTTCTTGCTTTTACTGTTGCAGCGGCACGGTGGGAATTTTTTTTAGGGTTACGCTTGGCTCTGATGCCAAATTGAATTTACGGCTTAAAATTCATTGTATTGCATAATAGACAATATATACAAGATATAGTCCTTGTTCTCCAAGGAAAACAATAAAGGACACACACATATCCTTCTTAATAAAGGATTCTAATATTTACAATATATATTTACATGCCCTTTTTAAATACCACTCACGGCAACACTCCCCCTCAAGTTGGAGCATAGATATCACACATGCCCAACTTGACAAGTGAGTCACCAAAAGATCTACTACACACGGCATGAGTGAGGATATCCGCAAGTTGCTCTTCTGAGTTCACAAACGGTATTGAAACAATTTTCTTCTCCAGCTTCAACCCCTAAACCATCATGAGGGTGCCGGACTACATCCAACAAGACACAAATGACAAGGAAAAGGCACTTCTAGAAACCATACCCTATAGGAAAACCCCCTTTGCACTGATCATGCTCAAGAATGGCGAATTGAAGATCATAACAGTTTCAATCAGAAAATTTAACTGACATTTCTAGTAATCCTTATAGGCTTTCAACCAGGGTGGTGACATCTAAATAATCAGCACAAACACTGGTCAACAAACTCCATTAGAAATCTAATTAGTAGAGAGGGGAAAAGGTTTACTTGGAAGGCTAAGTTTCTAATTGAGACCATGGCGAGGATGACCAAATTAATATTATGATCATTATTTTTTTAATCACGCACGCTACGTGCGACTTATAAAGTGTTGTAAATATTTTTTCGCAATTGTATTTATATAGATGTCTATTTCAACAGTTTCATATTTTAAGCACGTGCGTGTGATAAATCGTTGTCTTAAAAATTTTCCTTTATCGCCCGTATTTTTCTAGACGTCTATTTTAACAGTTTACACGCTATAAAAGAAGCCAAACATATACTTGCGTATTTGACATGCAAGAAAACTTTTGCAATATTCTTCACTCATTTCAAATTTTAAAGCGATGCCCATGATTTTCACCACATAAAACCATTATAACATTGTCTCTTTTAATAAGGGAAAAATAAGAAAAGGAACAAAGCAAAGTCAAGAGGCAAGACTGATGGATGGACCATTATTTCAATTTTAGTATTTATATTAATTATCAATTTTGTTTTCTTGCGTAGCATTTTATTCTTGGATATGGTATCTATATAATAAAAAACACAATATTGGGTACATTCCAGTTAGGCCTCATCATTTGGCCCGCGGGCTCATGGGCCTACGGGGGCCCGCCCGGCCCATTGAAAAAAAGCCCGGCCCGGCCCGTTATGGGCTTTGAGAGGGCCCGGCCCGCTTGGGCTTGGGCCGGGCTTGGGCTTGGGTGTTTGAAGCCCGGCCCGGCCCATAGGCCCGGCCCGATTAAGCCCATGAAAGCCCGGCCCGGCCCGCCCACAAAAGCCCGGCCCGTTAGGCCCGCATACATATATAATTATGTATAAATAAGGGTTTAGGATTAGGATTACATCACTTGAATGACAAATCTCCCTCTTTAATTTTTTTTTGTGTGTTACTTGTTATAAAAATTGTGTTTGTTTCCATTGAATTCTACTCATTCCTAGTTTATAATTGGATGATTAGCACATTAATTTGTGTCATTTATTAATACAACAATTATATATATATAATAAGACAAACAACATATCATATCACCAAACATAATCATACCACCAAATATAATCATACTTTTCTTTAACACATCACCAAATGATGAGCACAAAATTAATACAAGTTTTATCCTTAAATTTATAGTTGTTAGTATTTTCTTTTGTTTTATGTAAATCTATTAGAGTATTTATATTGGTTTTTTCCAATCTTGTTTTTATATTTAATGAGTGGTTGTTTTTTCCAATCTATTAGAGTATTTTCTTTTGTTTTATGTAAATCTATCAAGGAAATATGCTCAAGACAACGTGAAAATGTGATTACATACAAAAACATGAAAATGCATACATAAATTTAAACTCGACATCGGATCCAGATCGAACGACTGACCTTGCGTTGGACCCACATGATGTGGGGCCCAACTAACTCCTCCTCCCCTATAAATCTGCGATCACTACTATATTGCGAGTCTATGATTAAGTAATGGAAAATGCTAGGGAGACCAATTTGGGAGACCAACTTGGGATACCAACTCTCTAATAGAGCGTGGGACCCATTGTATTGGTGGGCTCCACCTCTATTAGAGAGTTGGTACCCAAGTTGGTCTCCCAAGTTGGTCTCCCTAGCATGACCCTTAAGTAATACTATCACCATTGTGATTAAGGAAAGCTTTAGGGGTATGAAGACGATGGACACATCTAAATCACTGATTTATTTTTGAGGTTATTCGAAATTTTCCATTCCAAAATAAAACAAACTAGCATTTCTGCACATGCTTCCGTTTCTGCAAAAGGCTTTTTTTAAAAAATTTAAATTTATTTTAGAATTAAAAAAGATGTGGTTAGTTCTGTTCTATAAAAATAGGATTCATTATTTGATTTTTCTTTTAATTTAATTTTTTTTAATATGAAAAAGTATGAACCATATTATCCTCATTTAATTAATAATTTCAATTCTTAATGTTTGCATTAACCAAGGGTATTATTGGGATTTTTGAATGTTTCACAATTCTCTGTTTTTTGCTTTCTATATACTAGCCTCTCGCGCTTCCGTGCTTGCGAGAGGCTTTTTTTAAAAAAATTTATATTTATTTTAGAATTAAAAAAGAGAATGGGTAGTTGTATTCCATAAAAATAGGATCCATTATTTGAATTTTCTTTTAATTTTAATTTTTTTTAATATGAAAAGTGTGAATTTACAATATTAGCCTCATTTAATTAATAATTTCAATTCTTAATATTTGCATTAACCAAAGGCATTTTCTGGTATTTTGAATGTTTCACCATTCTCTGCCTTTTGCTTTATATATATAGATATATAGATACAACAATGAGCTGTCAAATACAGCTATATAAAATTAGTTATAGAGAGTTAAGTAAGATTAAGTAACAAACGATTTAGTGTAACAAACTAATTATTTACTGCTTTTAATATCATCTTCTTTGTCTATCACTACCATTTTCAAAACAAAACAAAAAGGATCTGTGACCCATCAAGGAAGTTTCCTAAAATGGAACATAAAGTTTACATGATGCATGGTTTGGTTGCATTGAGAAATTTTTGAAATTTGAACACAAGAGCAAGTTTCCTAGGTAAGGGAGAAAAAAGCCTTGACCCATCAAGGAAAGCTTGAGCACATTGCAAACAATGCTGTTATAAATTGGTAAATTAAATAAAATCACAATGCTAAATTAAATTTACACAAGAATAAATTCATTACTAGAACAAGACTGACATACCTAAAAAAGAATCAAAGAATGTATGGCCAAGGTAAAGGTGGAGACTTGAAGAAAAACTGCAAGGGTTAAAATTATAATAGTATTAAAGAATCTATTAAAAATTTAAAATATGAAAATTTTCTTACACTGTTAAAATTATAATAGTATAGAATTTTAGTGCAGTCAAAATAGTTTTCCACATATTATTTATTTTATGATTAAAATAATTTTTAGGGTGTGATGGTGAAAAAACAGATTTAACACAAGAATTACAGAAGTGAAAGTAAAATTACTTTTTTTTATATATTACCAAATACTTGAATAGAAAAGTCATTTCAACATAGTGTCATTTTTCCTCATCATACACAACTCACAACACTTTTACACAAACATTTACCAAACTGAGAAACTGATTATTGTACTATAATCACTTTTAACAAAAAGATTACCAAATACCAAACTGCTTTCTATAATAGCTGATTTCTATCTCAGGAAATCTGACAGTGATCATTACCAAATGCCATCTTTAAATTTTATAAGTTCACTGTAAAGTTGGGTTTTTTAGAATTTTATGGGTGCAATGAATATATCAATGGGTGCGACCGTGCGTGTATAATTTTCTTGGGTACAAATGGAGGCCCATTGGCATGAATTTTCAACAAGGACAAATACGTCTTGCCCAGAGTCTCTCAATCCTTCGCTCAGTCTCTCTTTCTCTCGGTCCGACGCCTCCACAGTCCACGACCTCCAGCTCTCTTCGCCAACCCATTCGCAGAATCGCAGAGCACAAATCGAGGCCACCTCTCTCTCATCATTCCCATTCTCCGATTCCCCGATCCCCAACATCCTCCACCATCGATCACTCCAAACGGAAAAGGTAAATAAATGTATTTTGTTTCTGTGTTTATTCCAGCATATGGTCTTTGTTTTGGTATTGAATAGATGCTCTTACATTGCAATGATTTGGTTGCATTTTATGTACTGGGTCTATCGATTTGATTTGATTCTTCCATTTTCTGATTCTCCCCATCAATTTTAAGTACCCAAATTTATCATCTTAATATTTGTTGGGTTATGGATCATTGGTGTAGAAACCAGTCTCAGGCTCTCTCATGTCTACATTGTTCACTTGTATGCTTGTTTAAGTTTCTATTTTGCATTTACTTTTGATATGCAAACATAGGAGGTGTTCACTGACTTGTCTGTCTTGGACGGAAATCACAAGACTGGGTGGGCTATAGCCTATAGGCTAACGTCTTTAAAAACAAAATCTAGGTGTTTATGTACTCTAAGCTTAAATCTTCTCAGCTCACTCCAGCCACTACCCAGGCTTTCAGAACGTTAGCCTTTCCCTCCTATTCTCCACCTCTGCCAACCTTCTCTGTCCCGTGTGCCGTTCACTTTCCTAGTTCTTCTCATTTTCTAATTTCAATTCTGCTTCTTATAAGCCTCAGAGCTTCACTGACCCCAGGTAATCGTCTAATCTTCTTTTAGTTGCAGAGTTTTTAAATCAACATTTTATTTCTCAGGTTTAATTTTGGGGTATAATTTAAGGTGTTGATTGATTAGTATTATTATTAATATTATTATTTTGTCCATAAGCTCCTCAAGTTTTTCATTGCGGTTTATTGGTTTTTGGAATGATTAGATTTGGTTCCTCTATTTTCTCAAATTCACATCTGATTAGGATGTGGATTATGAAGGGGTTTGTTGGTTTTCTTATGGAATTTATGCTCATGGACATACCATTAAGATTTTAGCTTATGGGATAATTAGAGCTGCTTTACAAACACGAATTGGTGGTCAGTGAGAAAAAAATGATGTTCTAAAGCAGCTGTATCTCACCTAAAAATAACTGAATAAAAACACTAATTGGGTAGAAACAACTATCAGAAGATTGTGATTCACTGTTACATGTAGTATGGCAACCTAATTTGAAAGCAAGAAGTGCATAGAAACAGACAACAGATTGGCTTATTTTCAACAATTAAAAGGATAAACAAAACGATCCAGAAATGCACAAGAGAGGCTTGAATTTGAATTTAAATTGAGATGATGTTCCTTTGGTATGCTTATTACTGAGTAGCTCAATCAGAGACTAAGATTTGCTTTACTTCTCTCCTTTTTTTTCTTTCTTTTTTTCATTTCATTTTGTGTCTTGCAAGTTATAAGTGCTTCCACTTGTTTAGAATCCTCTGAATTTGGTTCATTTGTATGCTTTCAATATGTTCTGTAAATCTGGAAAATATCAACCCCCCGCCTACAAAAACAAATGCGAATCTTTTCACTCAGGGTAAAAAAGAAAAGCTTAGAGATTCAGCCCATTGTATTTTCAAATCCTGGTTCCATCCCTACAACTGGGTATTTATTATGTTTCTTGGTTATATTGTAGTTGGTTCAACCTCACTAGAGTCTTGTTTTTCTTGCAAATTAGTTCTAGATGACAATTTTTTTGAAGTACAATCTACATAACAGAAGATATTTCCCAGGAAACTGTTTTTAGAAGAAAACAAAAATTTAACAGTTGTGGAAACTTAAATATTCTCAAAAAGACTGCTGTGGAAGCTCAAATACTGTTTGGTGGTTTATGCTATAAATTTGACCTCTTTTTAATTTGTTCAATATTTTGCCAGTATTTAATTTCCCATACATTGGTTCTTCATCTTTGTTGGAAGTTGGAGTCAGTAATCAATTGTACAAGTATATTTGATAGGATTTACTTTTTTTATTTTTAAGCTATGATCCGCATCCACCATTACTTGCTTATAACTTATTGATTTTTCCTTGTTTTAAAACTCTTTCAATTCTTTTTATAATTGTATGCTTTTGTTTTGTACTTCTTCCTATTAATTTTACAGTTTATTACATCTGATTACAAATGCAAAAGCAAACAATGGAACTAATTCCATTCCATCCTAATTCCCAACCAAACTATGACTAGATTCTTTTCTTTGTTTAATTCCATTTCATTGCCTTTCCTACTCCCATTCTCAATCCCTTAAGGCCTGTTTGGTGGGCTTTTCTCTCCCTCAGCCTCCTTTGCTTTCGTCTCTAGTTTGAGCGAGCTTCTCTTTTCTGAATCTCTTTCTCTTATTTGCTTTCTCCACCATGGTTTCAACGCCCCTCTGTGTCTGCTGTGATTTTAGCCATTGTTGCAAGGTAGCTTCTTTTTCTCCATTTTCTTATCCATTCAAGTTTGATTTTTCTTGATTTCCATGTTTAATTCTAACATTTGAACTCCGTTGATTTGGCTGCTTCTCAGTTTACTTTCCAAAACTTTTTTCTGAATCTAACTCGTTGGTTGATGTGGGCCTGTTTGATTTAAGTTTTGAGAATTCCATGTTTGATTCTACTAAGTTTTCACAATTCAAAAACCGCACAAGACAGCTGTGTTTTCTTATTATCGCCTTCTTCAGTTCTCTATTGGGTATGCATTGGAAGGTTGAATGGTTTTGGGGAAATTTCATGGTTTTAGGCAATTGGGTCTTCTGGGAGAGTTTGATTGTATAGGCTGAGGCTGAGTCTTAGTCTTGTGCATTTGAGGCAATGTTTTCAAAGGCGATGCGTATAGGCAAGGCGTTTTTAGTAGCGCTACGTGAGGCGTAAGCCTTGAAGCATTGAGGCGTAAGCCACATTAATTTATTTTAGTAAGAAAAATTTATGAATGGTTGGGTTTCGTTGTAGTTTCTGTTTTGGGTAGTTTTTTCTCTATTGGGTATGCATTGGAAGGTTGAATGGTTTTGGGGAAATTTCATGGTTTTGGGCAATTGGGTCTTCTGGGAGAGTTTGATTGTATAGGCTGAGGCTGAGTCTTAGTCTTGTGCATTTGAGGCAATGTTTTCAAAGGCGATGCGTATAGGCAAGGCGTTTTTAGTAGCGCTACGTGAGGCGTAAGCCTTGAAGCATTGAGGCGTAAGCCACATTAATTTATTTTAGTAAGAAAAATTTATGAATAATACAATACAATTAAATTGTATAACTAATTCTTATTGAACCATAATAATCTTTTAAATATAATTAAATATAAGTACTAATTGTCATTCAAAGCATAATAATCAATCCCAAAACATAAAATATTTATTCAATATTAGAACAAAAACATAATTCACTCATCCCACTCCTCAACACTAATATCATAGCTATAAAACAACACCATTAATATTTCTAAGATACAAGTATGATGCATATACATCAAATTTCTACTATATCACATAAACGAATAAGATAACTAATATATTTTAAAAAAAATTGAAAAAAAATTATACGGAACTTCAAATTACAGTTGCGAAGAATTAAAGAGAAAAACAAAATGACTTACTTGAAATTGAAAAATGAAGAGAATTCTTGAAATTGATGGAGATTATCTAGTAAGGATAGAAATTAGGGTTGTACTATATATATATATATACAGAGAGCTTCCATTGAGGGATCCCTCAAATAAGCTAATTCGAGGGACACCCCTTGTAGGCCCCACTTTGGATTGTATTTCACTAATCCAAACCGTCTATTTTGTAGATACTCATTCAAAGATCATCTCTACAAAAAATCACTTGAATCCGATATCATTTGACCACTCAATTGTGTTATTGAAATTTGAGTACTTTCTTGATGCACCATTGTTCGTTAATTTTGTAGGACACAATTGGATATCGAAACGGTTTCCGATTTGTCTAATTTTTTGTAAGGATGATCGATGAATGAAGACCTAAAAAATAGATGGTTTGGATCATATTTGAGGCTCTTTCCAGGTCTTGTGCAATTGGGTCTTTTGCTCATATAATGTGCATCAAGTGTGTTTGTATATCACCTTCTGTGTGCCAATTAAACTGTTTTTAATGGCTTATAGTAAACCAGTGCAGTATAGATTTAATTTTGGGAAGGAATGCATGTGATTGTTGGGAATGTGCTAGTAGCTCCATTGAGTTCAGTCAGATAATTGCTAATTTCTATTATCTAGTCTTAATGATTTGAATGTCCATGCTTCATCTGAGTTACCTGATAAAATTTTACCCAATATGTTAGTAGACTTGCTAATTTTTGTTATCCAGGCTTGGTTTACTTTATTGGGCTGAGTCACTGATTCTGCAGTAACCATATATGAGTTTCAATGGTATTGAACCTTTCATTCTTTAAGTTAATTTTTTGTCATGAATCATGATCACCATTTTAAACATTCATGTTTCTTTATTTGTATTACTTTTGAAAAATTTGTGTTCTTGGATGCAATACAGCAACATATGAATGAATAATCTCTGGCTTTTTTTGTTACGTTCCATTGATGTACGTATCTTTGTTTATGGCAGCCTAAGCTTCCTGGTGTGAGACCTGTCATTTCGAAGGCAAGCAAATCAATAGCTGATCTTCTCATTGAGTCATTGAAGCTGGTGATAAAATATACTAAACATTAATAAAAAGATAAAGGATTTAAGTCCAGTCCAGCTCAGTGCTGTACTAAACAACTGACAAGACTCAAACCCAAGCCAGCCCAAGCCAGCCCAGTCCAATACTCGAAGCCAAATCCATGCCAGTCTAGGCCAGCCCACCAAACATGCCCTAAGGGCTATCACCAAATTACAAGGATCATAAAATATGACTCTCACGGTAACTCATTGTGTCGCCTCAATCCCAACATACCCAATCTGCAAGCATCAACATAAACCTCCTCGATCTCTCTCCCGGCGGATCTTATCAAGATCAAATAGAGTCTCAAATGTTAACATTCCGCAGTCAACCTCTTTAACCTTCGAGCCAAGAAACGAGTAAGTTTCCTAGTCAAGTATTTTTACATGCACATATTGCCCCGTGCAACTTACAGGATCAACTTAGAATTGTGCAGGTGTGAGTGCTTCAATCTGTACGAGCAGCAGGTTCCATATGGTCAGGCGTGGGCTTGGCAGAAGAGCATAGTTAACGAGAAAAAAACTTTGATTCAGAGGAATGAGGATTGCTCGGACTCGCTGTTTGTTCTTCAGCATCATCCTGTGTATACCTTGGGGACTGCTAGTTCAGAGCAGTTCCTTAATTTTGACATCAAGGACTCACCTTTCGACATTTATCGAACCGAACGTGGCGGCGAGGTTACATATCATGGTCCTGGTCAGGTACTAAGTCAATGGATGAATTCATCATTTAAACATTTTATGTTTGCCCTTGGTGGTGAAGAATGAATCAAAATTTGAATATATTACTTAATTGTTTAGAGGCTCAATTTCTCTAACTTGTGTGTGTTGCACTGTAGATAGTTATGTACCCCATTATGAATCTCCGAAATCACAAGATGGATCTTCATTGGTACCTCAGGTCACTTGAGGAGGTGATCATCCGTGCTCTTTCAAAGGTATTTTGTATCAAGGCATCACGGCTTAAGGGCCTCACTGGTGTTTGGCATGGTATGCTTCCTAAATGAAAGACATGATATTTCGCCTTTCAAAATAATAGCTTAGCATATTTTCATAGCCATGCCATTTGGTTGCTCTCGTACCTTCCATTAAAAGCAATGATTTCTTATTTCCCTAATTCTGTTGTCTTATAAAGAGAAAAGAATATTGGTAGAGGAAATAAAACTGGGATGTTCCTTTGATGTTTGTATCTAACTTTTCTTCAGGAAACCAGAAACTGGCAGCCATCGGAATACGAGTATCACAGTGGATAACGTATCATGGCTTATCGTTGAATGTCACCACTGACTTAACCCCTTTTCGTTCGATAGTGCCCTGTGGGTTACTAGACTATCAGGTTGGAAGTGTTAGAGGCTTGCTGAAGGAATTTCAGTCATCCGCCAACTGCAAAAGAGCACGTCTACCTGATCCCGATGATGGCCAGCTACTTGATATTACTTGTAAATCTTTGATCAAAGAGTTTTCAGAAGTTTTCCAGGTTAGAATCAATTATGAAACCATCTCAAGGTTGGAGTTATTAGAAAGGAAACCTGTAAACCATTTGGAAGAGGAAACTAATTAATTGAGGGCTTGAGCCCTGCATCTCTGAATAATTGTTGATGTGAAACGCATATTAGCCCTTGGATTATAAAAATATATTGGGCTTATTAAATAAGCCAAAGTCTACGAGGTCCAAAAACGCACTAATAATAACCAACGTATTATAAAGGGAGCTTGAGATTCAGGCCCCTAAAACCAATATCGAAGCTCGGGATCATCCTTTGTTTTGGGGCTATTTACAACTATCCAATTAAGAATTCTCATATGTATTAGCAAGTGCACCAAGGATGCAGCCATCGATTCCCATTTTCAAAAACAAAAGAATACTCTAAACACTTATACATTACAACACTGCCTCTGAATTCATAGAGACCCAAACCCAATTTTCACAAAGAAAAGCCCAAACAAAGACTCCAAAAAGCCCAGCCCACTTTTACAAAAAAACAAACCCAAAATAAATAAAAACAAAACAACACACGCTACCCAAGGCACCCTGCCAGACTCTTGTCTCTCACCTCTGTAACCATCGATATCGTCCATAACCACCAGAAAACCTACATACATAACCACCAAAAAATCAAAAGGAAACTGCAAAAGCATTACAAAAACAAACAAAATTTCTTGAAAAAAGATTACAATCTTGTTCGACAACAAAGGTAAAAGCAGAACTCAAACCATTTACTTGTTTTCTGAAGTTTCTTTACCATTCAAGTTATTGTTGAAGTGAGTCTCCTAATTGATCAAGGAGATTTATTTCCTTGATTAATTAAGGGATTTACTTTCCTATTTTATATAGTTGTCAAATCATTGTATAATTAGGAGATACTTTCCTAATCCTTTACTGTGTCTAATTCCTTGTAAAGCACTCATATAAACTCTTATATATACCTCCTTATGGAGAAGAATAAAATAAGAACCTAACATATTCAAACCTAAATATTCATATTTTAGCATGGTATCAGAGCAATCGATCATCGGTTGTCTCTAAATTATCATATCAAAATTTCTCCTTCCCCCCCTTGAAGAGGAGGGGAGGGGGAGTGAAAAAGGATCTGTTTCTCTTTCTCATGGAGATTTTGCCTATTTCTTGACCCCGACATACACTTATTTTCAGGGGGAGAAGAGGATTGAAGAGAAGTTTCTATGTTCTTAAGCCGTGTTCACAGGGTTTCTGTGTCCTTAGCCGTGTTCACAGGGTTTCTGTGTTCTTAGCCGTGTTCACAGGGTTTCTGTGTGTTCTTTAAATTCCTCATATCGTATTCCTCATTGTATCGAATTTTCTTGAAACACAAACCCAAAATCAAATTCCTCATATCGTATTCCTCGTATTTCCAGTTTCAGATTCAGATCTTCATACCCGAATCCTCATATACTCTTATTCCGAAACCCTAAACACATCTTTTTTCTCTTCGTCTTAAATCCTTCCGCTGCCATGGATATCGTTTCCAAAACCACCGAATCTACTTCCTCGTATCGAATTTTTCTTGAAACACAAACCCTAAATCAAATTCCTAAATCAAACGGTCGGTTGCCAGTGGAAAGCGACCGGCCCCCCCTTAGTTCTTTGAACACGGAGAAATTGTTTCAAAACTACCAGTCGCTAGTGGAAAGCGACTGGTAGTCAGAGAAGCTGTTTCAAACCGATCGGTCGCCAAAATCCAGCGACCGGTCACCAAAGAAAAACGATCAGTTTTCTCCACGCTGTCAAAATCAGGAGGAGGAAATTGAACCGTCTTATGAGATTTTGCCCGCTTCAGCTCCAGTACCACATCAATCACTTGCTGAGGAAGTCATTTAGTGTGCTGGCTGACACCCCCATTGAGATGAATCACAAGTTGTGTGAAGACATGGACCAAGAACCAACTAATAAGGAACATTATCAAACGCCTTGTAGGAAAGTTGATATACTTGGCACACACAAGACCAGATGGTGCATATGCTGTGAGTATGGTTAGTCAGTTTATGCATTCACCCAGTGTTTCTCATATGAATGTTGTTGATCGAATCTTAAGGTACTTAAAGTCAACCCTTGGAAAGGTTTTAATGTTCTCAAAACATGAAGATCTTGAAGTTTTCAGATATACATATGTTGATTGGGCTGGGTCCATTACAGATAGACGCTCTACTTTTGGTTACTTTACATTCGTGGGAGGTAACCTAGTCACTTGGCGGAGTAAAAAAAATAATATTTGGTTTCTCGGTCTAGTGCAGAAGCAGAGTATAGAGGAATGACTCAAAGAGGTTGTGAATTATTGTGAATCAGAAGACTCTTGACAAAATTGGGTTTCAAGCCAGAAAAACCAATGGAGTTACATTGTGATAACAAGTCAGCCATTGATATTGCCCATAATCCAGTTCAACATGATCGAACCAAACATGTTGAGGTGGATAGACATTATATCAAAGAAAAAATTGAGAAAAAGATCATCCGCCTACCATTCATAAAATCAGAAGATCAACTGGCAGATATCTTAACCAAAGTTGTTTGTGGCAGAGTATTTCATGACTCACTTACCAAGTTGGGCATTTGTGACGTATATGCCCCAACTTGAGGAGGAGGGTTGAAGTGAGTCTCCTAATTGATCAAAGAGATTTATTTCCTTGATTAATTAAGGGATTTACTTTCCTATTTTATATAGTTGTCAAATCATTGTATAATTAGGAGATACTTTCCTAATCCTTTACTGTGTCTAATTCCTTGTAAAGCACTCATATAAACTCTTATATATACCTCCTTATGGAGAAGAATAAAATAAGAACCTAACATATTCAAACCCAAATATTCATATTTTAGCAGTTATTAACATGCAATAACACTTGGGTTTTGTAAAAGAAACCCGAATTTGCAAGAAAGACTCACCACAGCCTCAAGATTCAAGGTACCCACTTTCTATATTTTTATATTTTTTATTTATTTATCGGTATGACTATATTATCTAAAGCTCAAAGGCCCAAAACCAGAGTGAGGAGGAAGCTCTCTTCTCTCTGGTTAGTTAGTTAGTTAGTTCCTTCCCTCCAAGGCCTCGAAGCCACTCTCAGACTGAGAGTTTGAGACTACGAGACTGCTCTGTTAGATTAGATGATGAGATGAGATGTGCCTATTTTGCTTATTAGGCTTTGGGATGAGATCGCACTTCTGTTGCACTGCAATAGCAGTAGAACTTTGTTTATTTAAAATAATGTGTGTCATTTTGGAACCTAATCAGTGCTTACAGAGAGGGCTACCTAACAAACACAAATTGCAAAAAGTCTAACTATGACATTCTTAGACTAATCAATACCTACAACCCTGAGACCAAAAAATTCAACTTTGGAGCTGGCAATGAGTATGCAATTACAAGCCAAGATTTGGCTGACATCTTTGGGTTGTCGAACCATGGCAAGCAGGCCAAACACAACAACATCAACTAGACCGAAACTGGATTTTGTGAACAAATACTTAATGGGAGTCGAAAAGATCACCAAGACTGAAATTGATAGGTTTCTGGACAAAGCACTGGAGGATGAGACACCTCAGGGGCCAATGGATGTCACAAGGTTCATAATTCTAGAGTTATTCATCAGCAACTTATTCTGCAACTCAGGTTGTACACTAGCTTGGACATATGTGACAACAATAAATGCCGTGAAAGATATGAAGCAATATAACTGGGCAAAAGGAGTGCTGGACTACATGCACTTTGGTTTGGACCAAGCAATCAAGAACAAGAAAGACAAAAAAAAGCAACCAAGTGTTAGTGGATGCCTTGTTCTAACACTGGTAAGAAACTACATCCCATCGGTTGTTAATACTATAATCGCTTTCTCTTCATATGTATTAACACATCACATTGAAAACCATGTTTGTAGTATTGGTTGTGTCAAAGAGGTAACTTGATAAGTCCTATCGTTGGAAGAGAAGACATGACTCCGGCAGTTGCAAGATGGAGCCTTCCAGAGCTGAACGTGAAGCTAGCTCATTTGAAAAATGAGCACATTAAGGTACTCATCATCCAATATATCAACGTATATATATATACTATGGCACTACTAATTCACAATCGTAGCTACTAACTCCATTACAAAATCAGATAACCATTGCTGAAAATAAAGACGACAATGAAGACAAAGAGAGTGATACCGAGCATAATGATGGTGGAGATGATGAAGATAACAAAGAGAATCAAGATGAGAATGAACAAGAGAATCAAGACCAATTGCTTAAACAACTTCATAAAAGGTATAAACAAGCGGCTCAAGATCAAGAATCCAAATTAACTTTGAATGATTGGGTACGCTAACCAAGACTCCACAAATATTTAGATTTGATATATAGATTTGAGTTTTATAGATGGATTACTACTAATCTGAATAAGGTATCTTATTGACTAACTTGATTCTATTGTTAATGCTTGTACAGTGCAAGGGTCAAAAGCAGAATACTTGCAAAGGGGAAAATGATATTGCTCAGCAACAACTGTTTACCAGTCACTACTACAAAAAATGAAATAGACGACGGGAATCCACCGTCATGTATCATGTTTTAAAACCGACGTGAAATCGACCGCCGTCTTTTAACACATAAAATAACGACGGCAAATAACCAACGTGGTTAATATATTACACGTCATAAAAAAAAACTAAAATCGACGTCTAATTCATACATAAAAGCATAAAAAGACAACATTTGACTATATTAGACGACGGTTGTAGTTAAACACAGACGTTTAAATAATGTTAAATGTCAAAAATAACTACAAACCCGACGTAAATATTCTTATCAACGTCTCTAATTAAAACAAAACCGATGTGTAAAACGTAGAAACCGTCGTGGTTAATAAATACTACGTTCACTAAATAAAAAAAACTGACGTCTAAAACATATAACATGGTAAATTAGACGTCACTTTTGTCAAAAACAGTGACGTCTTAAAGATTTAACATGACATATATTTACTTGGACTGACGTAAAAAAAACAAATAACCACGACCCTTTAGATCACCACAGACGTTGAAAATTATTTTGACGGCTTGAACAGAGAAATAAACGACGTGGATTTAATATTACACGTCGGTTAATTAAAATACCTGTCATGTTTAATCCATTTACTATGGCGTAGGAGTCACATT